GTCAGAGGCGCTCAACTTGCTCAGTACTACGATCTTGACTGAATCTTACCACATTGTCAGGGGCGCTCAACTTGTTCAGCAGGGGTTCAAATTCGGCCAGGCTCAGGTAACCGTCCGCATCCCGGTCGTAGCTCTGGAACATAGCATAGCCCTCCTCACCAATCTTGTCACGCAGCATCATCTCCCCAATTCTCCTCATCTCATAGCCCTTGAGGATGACAGCCGTTACCACGGCCAGCACCGCAATCACCACCGAAAGTAGGAACACTCGTAGGCAACTGCATCGCCGGGTGTGACTGCCACTGGTGGGGCCATGCTCAGGAGATGTTTGTACAGCAGCATCAGTGAAGTCTTTCGGCTTTCTCGCGCTGTCACTGGCTGTAGAGGCTGGCGGTGACTTTTTCTTGTCTCCGCCCATCGTGCCAAGGTGTTCGTTTCTGACAACTTCTGTAAGAAGGGAAACAAAATTTCATTACTGGCTCTGTTATGCCCCAACAGTAAATACAACATCAGTCCAAACTAAAAAGCTGGGACGGTTTCAAATACATGTACATGTAGGGTTCTACCGTACATGTACATGTACAACTGGGCTAGTCCAAGTATGGCGCTACAATCAGGCCATCCAAGCTATGGCATAGTGAATCTATGTGTGCCAAAGCATGTGTTAGCCAGATTGCGAATAATTCCACAGTCAGAATATTACAACTTTTCAAGTCATACTACCAGTATCATTGACATTAGCAACCTTAAACATGTTAAAAAAGGTTGTCTGCTAACTTTAGGGAAATAATTCCACACACACTGTTCGGATGCCACTGAATTTTTCCCTACACTTTGCTTATTTGCCACCTGAAAGCAACAACATGAAATTAGCAGGGAAACATGAAGATATTCACTTAGCAAACATTTTTTTCAGACCAGATGAGTGATATTGCACAATGGTAGAAAGGCATTGTGGGAAGGAAAAAGGAGCAAAAAGTGCCCCTTTTCCTTCCCACAATGCCTTTCTACCATTGTGAAAAATCACCCATGGCCATGCAGTGAGTAGGCCCCTATTGTGATCTGACGATAAGGCTTACATCACATGACATGGCTTAAGTTACAGAACGGGCTGACAGTACAAACTGTTTGTACTTGCTTGGGTTGTCGGGATTCGACTAAATGAGAGATACTTGTAGCCTAACTAGGACTAGGCACTGGCATGACTAACGTTCGTATATGCTCAAAGTTTGACTTGACTCAAATTAACTATGATGTAGGCCTATGCCTACATGATTGTGTGTAATTTAAAAATCTTCAAGTTGGAACTCAGTTTCTCCAAATTTGTAGGACAGATGAGAATTACCTTTCTATAGCATTGTTAAGTTCGTCAATATCATGGTCCAAGGAAATCATCGGCGTTCAGCTGTTAGCTTGCAACAAAACACAAAGCTGGACAGCTTACAACACTTGTCTGTGAACACATGCAACCAAATTAATCTCCCAACTTCCTGTTTGGAATGCACGTTGCACGCACGTAGTCCACTATGAGCGGCCAACAGTGCAAAAAAGGACAATCAATGCCAAAATAAAATACAAAAGTTTGTGTAAGTACATGTACCTCGACAAATCTGAAAAGTCTATGGGGAGTCAAGAAATGTTATAATTTCCTGACAAAACTGAAAATTTCTCTCAATCCATATTCTGTCATCCATTGATCTTTTGAGCTAAAAAAGTGCAACATTCTTTCCGAAAGTATTTCTTTGAAACAAAATTTTTAATTTTGTGCTACATTGACACCATCCCAAAAATCTGAAAATGTACGTCCTCGCAGGGCCGCCCATAGCCGGAGCGCCCTCAATTGTCCACTTAAAGCAGAAATTTAGTCTACTGCATTCAGAAAACATTGATTTCGCGTGCATTTGTCATGCTGCGCTGAACAAAACAGGAACCTGGAAAACAGGAACGGCGTTGGAACGTTAAACCAGGGGGTACGGGATTAGGCCTACATCAGTACATGTGAATCGTAATACTTGACATTTTTCATTGTCATAATCAATACAGAACACGCGTTGGCGCAATTTCTCCATATTCAGGCGCAGGCCACAACTACGGCGGATTTCCATGGTTAAGTGTTCAGGTGATGATGTGAGTTGGCAGTCAGGCCTGTAGAGTAACTTCCACTCACGATGACTTTCCGAGCTGTGTGGTTGCTGCCGTTGCCAGGAAGCGGCCCCGAAGAGATCGTCTTCCTCAAGTAAGTTGAGATGGAGCTGAAAGGTGATGGCACTTCTGACAAACCTTGAAAGCTATTACAGGGCATTTTTTAAACTTAAAGTACAACCATTGTACCTATGCTATGGAGTATGGTTACAGGGTCTGCACAACTCGACCGTTTGCCAACTCGACTTAGGACAACTCGACCGTCCGTGCGTAAAAGGGAGAGACAAGTCGAACTTTGAGACAAGTCGTCCATTGGGACAAGTCGTCCTTTGGGACAAGTCGTCCTTTGGGACACTGTCTACTCCGCCCAGTCATCTACCGAGGCCACAGTGTAAAATAATATACATGTATGCCTTAGGGATGGAATTTCATGCAGTACATGTAGATAGACATGCCTAATTTCTGAGGAATTTATAAAAATTGTGGCTGCAGTAATTTATTCTTTGCGCAATCAACCAATCTTGCATCTGCGCTGCACGTACAGTATATGACCCGTACGCATTTCCACCCCAGTAGTAGCTTGAAATACAAACTGAGGTTTGTCTCTTTTTAACCTTATTTTCAATTTTCATTCTGCTAGTCATTCTAGTTTAATGGATATTTTGCTGCTTTGGGTTTTCAATTCATGCTAATTCCATATCATGCATATGTCATTGTATGTATAACATCGATGTTACATTGATTTGTTTGTTCCTAACAAATGCTGGAATTTGTCCATATTTTGCAAGTGCACATATCTTTTTCCACCATAAACCACCAATTAGTCCTTTTTCAGAAATGTTTTTCAATTAGCAAATTTTAGTCTCACAATGTTAATAGAAAACCCATAAAACAAAGTGTTTTCAGTCAAAAAATACTTCTAGACTAACAGCAGTAGCTGAAAGACCATAATTTCAAGGGAGGCACCCTTTTTAAACACCGTGGGCAAACACTGCCTCATCCCCAGGGGTTACTGTATTTTTGGAGGTCTGTTTTGGCACCATAGAAATGAGGTTGTGACAAATCATTGCAAAGTTATCTGTCAAACATTGTTTTACACAGTTCATTGCACTTTTTCTGTCAAAGCTGTAACATTGCACATTTAAATTTTTTCCCTTCTAGTACTGATAGAGTCTCGCAGAAAGGTGAAAATTCCAAACATTCCTGTTGTTTGAAAACCATTTTAGAAGCTACAAAAATTTGATCGAATACATTTTCTCGAGTTTCCACAAGTGTCCCTTGTGAAGGACTGATCATATCAGAAAACTGTTGGATCCAAATTGTGGTGAGTGCACAAATCTTTTATTGAAATGGGAGAGCACTCCTTAGAAATTATGCCTTGGAAATTATTGGGAAGACAGCAGGAGCAAAGTTGGGATATTCTATCTACTTTAAGTTCATCACAACTTGCAAAGAATATTATATTGTAGTTAAAGCAAATTTTGGTTACTTGAGAGATACAGTCTAAATCTGTAAGTGGATTGAAGGGATTGTACGTTGCATTTGTCAGTACCTCTTTTTTTTGTGTATGTATGTCTGAAAGCAATCATCTTTTAACTACCAATAGAGGTTTTGCGCAGTAGCCATCTTGGGGTTCAGTGCTGTTGCACAGAGATGTGCATGAGTAGACCTTTTGTATGTGCTCTTGTGGATTAAAAGCACGTAAATGCGAAGTGGCTGCCATGCAGAACCTCTGTTGTGTGCAGACTGTGAACTGCTTGTCAATTCTGGGAGAAGAAAGTGTATTACACATGTTGTTTCTACCACACTTCAGAAGGAAACAATTTCCGCATGTGGTGTTTTACTTTCAGGACTTATCCAACTGTTGAAAAGAGAGCCCTCGTCTTCAGTGGATCAGAGAACCATGTCCCTCTTCCATCAGAGAGCGCCTTGTATGATGCAACTTTGGAGGAACTCGGATTGAAACAGCCTGGTACAAAGGTAAACATTGCGTTACCTCATGCCGACAGCACACATCACTTAAAGTACATGGACTGCATGCACTTTAGTGGCACCCACTCAGAGTTTAAAGAGCTTAAGTGGAAAATCCAACCTGTCAAACTAACCTCCTGTCTCTTGTTTTTGTGTCAAGTTTGTAGAGTCCAGAGATACGTGTGACAAGGAGTTCCAGAAGCCAATCTTTGAGATCAGAGTACCTGGAGGCAAGCTATGGCCAGTGGTCATCATCCAGAAGGTGAAAGAAAGAAAATGTGATATTTATACCCAGTAGCCCAACTAGGCTGAAATTTCTTCAAGAGAACCTGGGTGAACACACATTTCTTTTCAAGAGGGCTTTGGGGAGGGGGTGTACCTGAGGGGTACAGGCTTCTGCAAGGGAGGTTCACATTCACCATGCCCCCCCCCCGATAGTTAAGCTTGCACCTCTATTCATACTATAAAAATGTTTTGTCAGACAAATAAAGAGGGAATACACAAGCAGTTACATAACCTGGAACTTGGCCAACATTTACTTCAGATGGCCTCTTCACTAAAAGTACATTGACAGGAATTGCTGCGCATCAGAAATGCTGGGGGACTGTTTTTTTTTATAGCACTGGCACAGAACTTCTCTTCAAGGGCCCATTAGGGACCAGTTTTAAGGCGTGAATTGTGTACATAAATTTACATTTAAAGTGTAGTATTTGAGAACTGAAATGAGAAACATTTAACACAGTTTGTTTTCAAATCTTAGCTGTGAATACACCTTGGGGCTTGCCCACAAGAACCAGGTGAATAAATTTTGGTTTGAAACTGCTGTAGCTGTAACTACAAAATTTGAAAAACTAGCATTTATTGATGATTCTTCTTTTAATTTGTTTAGTTTGGTCTTCTGTTGTGCTGTCTACCTCTGGTAGAGCAAGGGTGTGAACCTAGGCCACCGCTGACAGAGATGTAAGTCCACCTCACTTATCCTTGTTTATGTTCCTGCATTCCCCATCCTCTTCTTTTTGTATTTCCTTTATCTGCCCTCCTCTTCTGTCAAAACATCCTCCATTCTCCTGTCTACGCTCCTGTCTCACTCACGGCACCTTCTGTAGGATAAATTGCTTTATGTATGTCAAGTTATGTAGTCAAGTACTTTTCAAGAACCAGGTTTACTGCCACATCATTCATCCCAGTTAATTAAAAGCACTCAGTTGAGTCCTTTTTTTCCATCTCAAATCTATTTTTGAGCTTACCATGCAATGTCCATGTTCTTCAGCTTTGCTCACACATTACCGGTTCAGTATTTGGTGGTAAGCTTGACACTCAGAAAGCACTTGACTGAGACACTGATGCATGCTGAAGTCCAGAAGCCTTTTTTCATTTCAATTTGATGAGGGTTGAATGAAATCTGTGCTTACGTATTTGAAACTCTCTCTTTTTTGTCATGCTGTCCAGTCTTGGCGTGTCATTAGGGCTGTCTCTACTTTCTGCTATAGCTGACTTTATGGGACATTTACCAAAAGACTTCAGTGCAGTAAGTATTGTTCATAACTTAGTCCTCCTTCAGTACTCCACCTAATAATCCCATTTAGACAGAAACGGTATTTACATTTAATAATTTTACCATAATGTAAGTTATTTGAGTCGCAAAAGAAATTTAAGTCTAACTCTATTTTTAATCACTTTTTTATCCAGTCCATTAAATCTCTCCCTTTTCCTTCAATGTAGTGTGAACTCTCTCATCATGTGTCCAACAATTTGCATACAAATTCAGGTTATTTTAATGTCATGTAACTTTTGTTTGAGCTGCTCGGAAGATAAGCAGTCCGGGTTTTTCTAATAAATAAATTTAGAATTGCTTTGTTTTGGTGTAAAACAAGAACCCTTATGGATTCTGACTTCATTACCATCAGAAGGATTTGCAGGAGTGGATCGAAAGCGATGAATGTTTTATAATGCCAATATTTCAACATAAGGTTTATGTTTTCCTGGAAGTCTCATCCCAAGGTATTGGAGCTGTACTCTTACATGTGCCAGGCAGCACCATTTGGTACACTGGTCGACAGCAACCCGACTACCATCAGAGAAGCAATACAAAACAAACATTCCACGCAGCTAATAGCAACCAATGCTAAGGTAAAAGTCATGGGCAACCTGGTTCAAAGCTATGCTGAGTAGAATCTGCATAATAGTCTCAAAGATAAACGGCATTATCAAGTTAAAGCTGTCTAATAGTTGATAAAATGTTGCTCCCCTCAAAAGAATTAGGCTCTCCAGAGTTTGCATGCAGTGGAAAGACACAAACAAAAAATTTAAATTGTCAACTATAGTCCAAAGTTGGTTGTAACTCAAAGTGGACATGGTTTGTAAGAAATGTTTGTTGGTTACCAGCAACCAGCATGGAGGCCGATCATGACCAAGGGTAAAGGTCAGGTGCACTTCGCCATCACGGAACAAGTGAGAGCGGTTTTGTATAACAGCAGCAACATGGAGGACGCTTGCAGTGTGTATGGCACAATCACATGCAAGGTGAGCATTGGGTGCTGGCTGGATTATTCAATTACACACAGTCCAGATAATGGTAGGTTTACAGAGTAAGGAAGTGTGAAGTCAGTCAGAACCACGAAGTGTCGTACAAACGAATGGAGTTCGCTTAGGTTGGTTTACGTGCTGGTTCTTGCACTAATGCCTGTTACACACATAATTGTGCGTGTGACGTATTCAATTTGGTACTCTATATCAAACTTCGGGAACTATTCACTGTTCACATGAAAGAAATGTTACCAGAAAGGAAAACAGAACACTTTTTTGGTGTGCAAGGAAAGGTGATAATTTATCACTGTCGTGCAGTCCTAATATAATGATACTTTCAATGAGGAAAAAGCCATGCAAAATCATGGTGGTAAAAGGGTCATTCTATATTTTGGGGTCCAATTTTCTTCATATCCCTGCCACATCTGACAGATGATTATGCAAGTTTAGAACATGGTTTTTAATTTCTAACAGTGGTTAAGAAATGCAGAACACCTGCCAAACAAATAAATGCAGGTTGAATTCAAGTTCAGTGATATTTCCATGGCAACTTCCATGAGTCAGGTGTAGTGGGGATACCAAAAACGTTACACTTTTGGACCCCAGATTTATAGAATAAGCCAAAAGTGTGTACTCTGTTCAAAGCCGACTGTAGTAATTTATGAGCCATTTTTTATGTATATTTAGTGGTTCATTCTCCAAGTGGCTCTGTTGAAACTATTTTGAAGCAAGCAAAATTCCAGAGTGTCAGTTCCCATGGCCATTATCCAAATATTTTTTTAAAGTTATATTTGCCATTAATTTGAAACTCTTGATATGAAGCATAGTTTCAACATCTCCTCCCCTTGTTTCTTTTGGGTGGTCAAACAGGCTGACTTGGAAGGGGTTACGCCAGAGGTCAGCATGGCTCTGATTGTACCACAAGACTCCCCACCCCTGGATAATCTCATTGTACACCCTTGTGTTCAGGGTGGTGACACACAAATCATCAGCTCAGGTGACATTCCAATAGTCCTCCTGGATCAGTATAAATATAGAAGTACATAGACCAATTGTGTTTTGCTGCAGTAAAATATTTACTTCTGAGGACAGTGTTGTGCCTGCGGTAGTAAACGACGAACTGTGTTCAAGTTTGCATCATAAACAGCCAGTACAAAAAAGTGCCTCTCAAATCTCTCTCTGCTTTTCAAATTTTCCTGTGCCTATGAAATCCAAGAGTGTTTGGTAAACTCCTTTGCCAAAGAAACATTTCTTTTTTATGCTAACCAACTCCGAGTCTGAGAGACAATGCATTTCATAATGGGGAGACAGGGGTTGCGCAAAAGGTGTCCCACTAAATTACTGTGCCTAAATTTGGCCCCTTCCTGCAGGCATGCCAGGGATGACCAGCCGCTCCACACCGGCCAAACTGACCAGGAGGAGGCTTCGTTTCATCCCCCCTCGAGAGGCATTCACCCTGGGTTATTACACCTCCTCCCCTTCCGCCACTGTCACCAGTCCCCCCCTCACCGCCTCCTACCAGATGAAAGGGACAGAGAGGGAGGTCACGCTCACAGTCACCATCAAGCTTAATACCAGGGTCAAGAATGCCTTGGAGTACTGTGAGGTCCAACTTCCATTCTACAACAGGTGATGACACAAGAGCTGGGCTGGGAATTGGTGCTGGAGTGTGATACCTGTCCTTTGTTGAGGAAACCAAAACATCATGCAGTTATTGGACTAAACTGTTAAACAAGGTGTCAGCAAGTGATTTGCCAAAACTGTCATGCTTTTACAAATTTGTGTAATGCTTATCTAATGGGGCCCATCCTGGTGCCAAGCCTCCTCACACCTTACCCTCTGGTTCACAGAGTTGTCAGGACCTGACTTGATGAGGCAGATATTACTCGCTAAGTAAATGGCAGCCAAGACTGTATGAAAACCAACCGCAACACTTCACTCACCATTTCACGTACCATTTAGTTGGATAGCCTCTTAAAACCAAACCAACATTTTGTTGTGGAATGCAGCTCCTAATAATTTCCCCTTGGTGTTTGCATCAAGTTCCTGTAGTTTCTCAACACTTCTCACGATCACCTCCATTTCCGCATTTCCCCTGCAGAGGAATCATTACTGAGATTGACCCCGCCCCCAGCATAGGCAGCGTGGTGTTACCCAATGACAGGCGGCGTCTAGGTTGGAACGTTGGCACCCGGTTCCCGTCTCGGACCCTGGAGGCAACGCTCCAGGCCAAAGTGCAGTTTGCAGAGTTTGACAAGAAGAGATCGTCGGACTCCTACGAAGATCCGTTTTGCGTCGGGCTGAATGCTTATGCAATGGTAAATAACGGTGATGGCATCTGTTCACTTCTTCTCCAACAGAGTGGCACGAGAATTTATCATCAAGTCTCAATGAACTTTTACAGTGGTTTGCAGTTGGAGGTCTCATTCAAGCCACCAGCCAGCGTTTTGTTTGCATATAGTTAATTAATGTATGTTCATTTAGCAGACTAGTCAAGTCCTCACACATCACAAATCACTCAGTCCCAAGTCAAGTTCCAGGCTATTCAAGTAAAATGTGATAAAAGATTTCCCTTATCGTCTTCCCAGTGGTTTGTAACTATAACTGTGATTGGTTCTTTTTAATTTACTTGTGATGGACTCATGATTTATCCATCCAGAACAATTATGACTGCTTGCCAGAAGTCATTACCAGACCTACCAACTAGTACGATTTAGACGTATTTCCTACGGGAAATTCTTGAAAATACGATCGTACGTTTTCTCCCCCATAAAATAAGGGTTTTGATGATATTGATACACCTGAAAAAAAAATCGCAGTTCAACGGTTGCGAGTGCACGTTATTAGAAATATACAGCCTCAAACGTTTCTACATGTACGTGTACAAACCTCTTGTGTAAACAGCATCCAGCAACCCCCCGACATTGTGTTGTGATTGGTTGCCCATTAAATATCAATATTCATGTTGCTTTAGTGGGACTCTTTAAAGCCGCTTGTACGTCAGTGGAAGTAGTGACAAACAGTCTCCAGAAGTTTATGTACATGTAACGCATGTTTCACGGCCACCGTAAATACGTGTATGTGGCTTGAAATAAGGTTATTAATTTTTTCGCTTTCACCGCGATAGAGGGCCTCGTGGCAACTGGTGCAGGGCAAAGGAAATTGTGTCGTACATTATGGCATGGCTATTACAGGTTCTGTGTGCATCGCTTTTTACGAGATTTCAAACAATTATCAGACATAGACACATCAAAATGCCAGTGCAACACCTGTAACAGGGTTCAATTTGGGTGCAGCCTTTGACAAGACCGATCCTCAAGTAAAAATCTGCAGAAATAAAAAAGGGTGGAGACATTTTGTGGCTGGCCAGCGAGCAGGTGAAAAAATCTGTGCCAGGAAATTCCAAAAGCCTGGACTTGCGATGTGCATTTCAAGATTTCGAATTTTGGAAACACAATCAATTCAGGTGGGAATAGGGTCATTTCACTCTTCAACCTCGATGATGCATTTCTCGTGTGATTATTTTTATGCATGAAGAAGTGTTTATGCAATTTAGTCCGATTTACTCGGACTAAACCCACTCCAGACAAGTGGTCAAAACGATCGCATAGAGGAATAGGCTTATGCTCATTTTTTGCAAAATATGATTTTTTAATGAAAAATACGACTCCTAAATTTTCAGAATACAGTTTGCGATTCAAAGGGTTGGCAGGTCTGCATTACCCATCAACCACCTCACACCAAAGGTCATCTTAACATGCAGTGATTTCCTGTGTCAAAATGCGGAAGATATTGAAACACGTTCCGGCGAGTTCTCTTAGTAGTGTCTTGTGACATCTGTACTCATGTACATGCTCAAGTGATTCCCCTGAGTTTGTGCACAAACAGAAGCTCAAATTGTATCTTGTTGTTTGAAAAAGTCGGTAATTTTGGCTGAAATGTTACCACACCTGTGGCGAGCGCAACTTGATATAACACTGTCGGCAAACAGTTAAGCATTGGCAGGGATTACACCCGATGGTGGTATAAATTATCAGTTGACTTCACCGATACTAACAAGAATTACAGCTAACACTCTCAATTTTAAAAGGGGATAGAGCTTATATTCCCTTTCTATTCACCTCGTTTAAAGTCAAACAACAGTCAGCATTGACCAGTCAACGGCAAGAATATAAAGGTAACTCCGGGATGAGACAAAAAGGACAGATGTGGGAACTCAAAGCAAATGAAGGAAAATGGTAATTTTGTTTGTGTTTTTTATCCATAGATTTACTTCAAAGTGCCAGAATATACTTATACAGGCTGCCAGATTGACCCCAGATCTCTTCAGATACACCCAAGTGCCAAACCAAAGTTGAATACAGGTGAGTTTCTAATTCTGGTATTACTGGCAGCCGAAGCTGAAAAGGGGGCATTCCCCACACACACACTTTTTGCAGGTCCTGAAATGAGGTCAAAGCTGTGATTGATTATCCTGTTCTGGCCTGAATTCCCATCAGGTCCCTTCTGATAGTTTGTCTGCTCGCTCCTAGCTTGTTAGTGGTCAGTGCCAGGCTACACTATCTCATTGAGTTGCTCACCTGATTCACATCGGCTCATTGTCACTGAGTTTACTTCAGTTCACAGACAAGCAAAGGTTTCAGCCAACATGTGGTATTCCGTACATTCGAGATGTTGTTAGATTCATTGCATATTCCGCTGGGCTAAAGTTGCAACCAATCTTATTTGATGAATGAAGTTAATTCTTTCTACAGTGCGGGAGTTTTCATCTGCCGAGTACAAAGTGTGGAATTCCCATGGCGATGCCCAAGCTGTGTTTCCGGTCCCCAAGTACCTTCTGCACTAACTGCCGACACATTTGCCTTGACTGAGCGAAAGACGATTGCTTTGCCACAAGAATTGTCTCAAAGAATTGCTGATAGTTGGTTGAAAAGGCATCTTGCAAAACTTGATAGTTCAAAGGTGAACACACTTCACTGCAGTTATTGGTCATGCCTACAGGTATGGATGGACTCTCACTTGTGAGAGAATTCATGAGATAGTCATCATCTTTGCCGCACTCTGAGGCAGTGCCACAGAGAAACATTTGTCAAGACAACTGGCCTTATCACTCTTGCGTGGACCAATTGAGTGTGTGTGCGTGTATAAAAACCAGTGGAAACTGCTGGAGAATAAGAGCATGTGTCTGTGTCAATATCTTAGGCGAATTGAAATAGACAGAATAAACGGTGTGAATAAGTTCTCCTTGACACCGTCCGAGAAAATTATTGCAGGTTTTTCACTGGTGTGATGAGTTAACAGTGCATTGAACAGCATTTTCTCCTTGCTCTCAATGGTTTACTTTTAAGAGGAATAAATTTAGGACTGTTAACTTCCTTTGTAAAGCGAAAACAAAATCAAAATGCTGACTGTCATGAAGTGGAATGTTATTAAAGGTATGATGAACTACCATTACAACTTCTTGTTTCATCAGTGCATAAAGATAATGATTATTAAGTATTTGTACTTTAGAATTTATTTGCAAAGCGTATGAAATGTAAATATAAGATGGAATTTCAGGTTATTCATGGTGAAAGACAGCAATAGGTGGAAAGGCTTGCGGGAGCACCATGCGGAGGAATACATCTCTCTTATGAGTATGTGTGGTTCTGAATCCACCACTAGCATCCTCGTCACACTCCACTGCATCCAGTCACCTTATATAAACAGCTCTCTTCAGCATCTCTTCAGTCTCCCGACAATGGACTGAGCATGCAGTCCGAAATGTTGAATATGCTCCCGGTTCTTTCCAGAACCACACATATTCATAAGAAATATATTCCTTCGCATGGTGCTACTGCAAGCGTTTCCACCTAATGATGTAAATATAAGTTGCAATAAAATTTTAGTAAAATAATCGCCTATATAATTTATGTCACTCGGGGTCAAAATCCAGTGTTGAGAATTGTCGATGGGTTGGCTGGTAACTGTTTTACCCAAACTGTGGTACCCAAAAGTCCTTCTATTGGTTTGGGTGATACGAAGGATTCATTCCCTACAGACGCTCTGGACATATCTGGGATATTACTCCCACAGCAGATACAAGACATTTTGTACATGCAAAGCTTAACCTTATACCTACTGAATGCTAGCTGGTCTGCAAGAACTCTTAATGACCATACCACACACAGGCTATGTGGAAAAACTCGGCATTTCCCAGCAGGAGCTTCGCTCCGCTGCACCAGTACGTGTCCAGAATTTGCTCAACCTCTAGTCAATCTTTGCAGTATAGCTCCAATCGTTTGAGCTTTGTTGGGTTCCTGAGAGGGCAGCCGCAATAACAAGGGTTTTTTCGACCTGGGTTTGAGAACCCGAAACGGCATGGGTCAGGAATGAGAAAGCGAAAAGGATAACCATTATTGACTTGAGTCATTGCTCCCAAATAAAACAGATGTTTTACTGAATAGCCTGTGAAGTGGTGGACATTTTTTGTTATACCTGTAAAATAACGGGGAGACTTCCCTTATTCCTCGTGAAAGTTAAAGAAGTAAAGAACCACGGAAGTGCCAGGACCAAGATGCTTTTCAAAGTGGTCTTGCTTCTGTGAGATAATATCCGTTGAGTATAACACGCCGCCGTGAAATACAACTTTGAAAAAACAATCGGTCGTGGCCCGTCTATGCTTCCGTAAAGAAATAAAGTCTTTCCCCTTGAATGGAAGTGCATGGACGAGTTCCGTTAATTTTTCCCCCCGTAAAAACACGGACACTTCAGAATGTTTACCATCTGATGTTTTGGTGCATGGATGTTGTCTGAGGAGGGTGAAAAAGCATGTCTGGACGTGGAGCGATGTTCCTCATATAAATATTAAAGGGAAAAGTCCTAACGTTAATGTTATCAGCAGTAGCTCAAAAAAGGATCAGGCCAAGAAGAAAATCTTAAATTAGCTTCTTTTTTTCCCCGGCCTATACTCATTTCTTACAAAATATGTACAATGAATACATGCCCCAAGGGGTGTGCTAGGAGTGATGGGGTATTTTCCCATTACTCAGAGCCATGGTCCTTGAAACATATCAGCAACAGAGTCAATGATCCATCTTAGAAATAAAAGCAAAAAATAAATAAATAAAATACAAAATACAGGACAAGGAAACAGTTTTTGTTTTACATGCACCACCGTCAAGATAATGCTCCAATAGCTCTCAGAAATGACGTCACTGAGAAGAAGCGAAAAACAGGAACTAACATTCATGTTTTGGACGTGCAGTGAGTGCGCACCTAAGGCTTTGAAACAAGATTTCCGAAAAAATGCAATGCAGTTGAAAATTACAGAGCAATTTTACTTTGACCGACGCACAGTCTTTCATCAGAGCAATTCACAAAGTCAGATCTACCAGGAGCAGGCAGCTAAAGAGAATGAAACGCCGGCTGTGTGTAACTCCTTGCCTATTAAATCTACACAGTCCGTCAATAATTATTTCCTTAAAATTTGGCATAATGAAAAACAAATAAAGCCCCTTACAACCTCCACAAACTGGGTTTCCACTGTATAAATTATGGCCATTCGTAAACGCACACGGAACGCATGACGTCATACCACCCAAAGTTGAAACAAAATGGCGCCCAAAACTCCCCGATTTCTTGCCGAAAACAACCTTTAGATTGATTGTGCAGCCAGGTGTCATGATGCTAAACCTGTTTCAGTAAAACATCCAGTTTCATATTGAAACAATTTCCTGGGAACTGGCAACTCAGTCCCATCATTTACTTTCATGTTCCCTGCAACCACCTCATTAGTGCCAAGTCCACCCGGTACCCCTCTCTTCCCCATGACCCGCTGGCGGGAACAAGCCCCATCCTGCCACTAATAGTTATTATGTTCTTGGCCGCTCTCGAACGTGTTTAAAGGCGCCTTCCCATAATATTTATGTGCATTTTCTGTGCGTTGCCCACACGATGCGTTTCACGTTCATGCGTTTCTCACAAAAGTTGACTTCATTATCATAACACACGTGTGCGTCAGGCCTTCAAGCGACTTGGATCGTTATACGCAACACTTGGCGCCACTGTTGACGCGCAAATGGAAAGCGCCTTGGGTGACAGCAATCTATTTGTTTTAATACCTACCTTCAAAATGTACCTTTGTTTCACTACATTTCAAAGGGTAATTTGATACCTTTTGTGGTTCCATGCTAATGAATATTTCCATATATTGGTATTTACACAAAGTCATGCGTTTTTATAGATTTTGCTGGACTATTTTTTTCTTCTTTGCTGATTCATTGTTTTTTATATGTACAGCAATAAATGAGCACCAGTGCCTTTCTCAGAAATGTTTTCAGTAAGTAAATTGTGGGTTCACAATGTTAATAGAAACACCTATGCAATGAACTATGTCTTCCTGCCTGTGGTCTTCCCTTAGATTACATCACAGCAACAGCGCCCTCGGTTGCCCAGGAAAGCATGGATATTTTTTACGTTTAAAAAAAGTGCCCTTTCCCTGCATTTAACCAAATGGGAAAATGAAAGAATTTTCGTACTTTGGGGAAGAGTACCAAGTTGCAGGAAAAATTGTCTTTAATAGGAGGATTCACTGCAGCTACTCTATTTAAGAAATTGAACATCTGTCTGTGTGTGTGATTGTGTTTACCAAAGAGCTACCGTATTTACAATCTCCAGCTAGAGTATTATCCTTTCCACACCCTTCTTTGTTCCAGCTTTCTATGCTTGTCTACATTCCCTTTGTTTGGTGACCTATTCAAGGCCGGCTGACCTCGATTTTGGTTTTACTTCAAAGCAACTCTGAGAAAAAATGTTTTCTCTGATTTTATCTGTTCAAATTCGTCTTCAGAGGTCAACAGTTCTAACAAGCTTGAAAAAGGGCCTTTTCTGCCCATGCCAAGATGTGAATTCTGAATGTAGATTGCATCATTCGGAGAAAACAGAGAAAACGAATTTGAACAGATAAAGTCAGAGAAAACATGTTTCGTTAGAGGTGCTCTTTCATTTTTGTCTGGGAGAGGAATGCGGACCTTCGACATGCGTTGTGGACTCAGTCTTAGACATTGACCTTCCTGGGTGTATGTATGGTTGGACCTTCCAGGCATTGTCTGTTTTCAAGTTCCCTTTATTTTGGGGGCCTATTCAAGGCCCCCTAACCTCGATTTTGTTTTTGCTTCCTTTATGTCTACGGGGGAGGGGTGTGGACCTTCGACATTTGTGGTCTCGGTCATCGATACTGACTTCCCACGGTGGGTGTATCGTTGGACGTTCCATGCATTGTTTATTTTCCCTTTCTTTGTTGGCCTATTCAAGGCCTACTGACCTCCGTTTTGTTTTGCTTCCTTTTTTGTCTGGGGTGGGAAGTGGAACTTGATTCTTGTGGTCTCAGTCACCGTCATTGAAATTCCATGGTACATGTCATCACACGGGTGTATGTTTGGACTGTGCGTGGTGATGGTGGTTTAGGAGATTTGGACAAATTAAGCCAAGTTACCCCTAATAATAACTTAAATAAATATCTCTTACCTCTGAACTCAGAGGAAAATTTCCATCTCGGGAGAATTGAAGCGGGAAAATAAATAATAAGGTGAAAAGGTGTTGTCTTTCCACCGGGATAGTTACCGTATAGGAGTATACACTGACAATTCAGCTCCTATCCCGGTGGAAAGACAACAGCCAAAAAATTTTAAAAAGGGATAAGGAAGATGAAGAAGACTATTTTGCCGAGCTAAACGTCTTGTCGAGGCTTTGCAGTCAGTCTTGATAACCGAACTCGTTTAATGGGCGATAGCGACTGCATTTTGCTCGGCACACAGATCAAACCAGGGAAAGCATGCTCTTCTCCCAAAAGGGACACTGCCGCTGATGGGCAGTTTTCTTTTGTTACTGGCCTAATCCAGGCAAGAACTATTTACAGGAGAAAAGCCAACCAATATCTGCTTGTGGCCTTTCTTACTTTCACTACAATGCAATGGTATCTAACATCATATTACCAAGTTGGCTGAACGGTTAGACATTAACGAAGAGAGTGGTGTATTCTGCAGACTGTAATAATTAATTGTTGCATTCCCTCTCGTTTCACGATTTTGTTCCAGAAGAAGTTTCACGTCCTACTATTGTTGGTTTCCTAAAATCTTGACAAATGAAAAAATTGTATCATGAACAAAATCAGCGACGAAGGAGAACACCGCCAATCGCAAAGTTGATCCCCGGCCGGTGCGGTGGTGAAAGACCATCACCAATGAAAAATGTGATCACTGAGTCATGAATATGCATCAATGATCGACTCTGAATACACCAGCGCAAGGTTGGTCACCTATCTGGTCGTGATGTCACCGGTTGCGAAAAGTCTATCACCGATCACTGACTGTTCTGAAATGCACCAACAATTAGGTGACCATAATAGTACGCCTGACCGTGCACATGCAGGGCATACACAGCGCTAGAGCTAGCCACTGGCCTTCGGGTTAGAAGTTGCACGGCTCAAAGGCGAATGCCTGTAGCTGTAAAAAGGTGGGGAAATGGCTCCCACTGACAACCAGCTTTACTCAGAAGGAGGATGGGGTTGGATAATTGTACTTGCTACTTTCTTCTCCAAGTTCATCGTTTTTGGCAGTTTGAAAGCTTTCGGAGTACTTCTAAAGACCGTGGCGGAGGACCTCGAAACGCAGTTATGGGTTGTTGGTTCTATATGCGCTCTACATTTTGGTGTGCAGTTTACTTTATGTACGTACGGTATAAGTCAGAGGCGATTTGGCCGTTTTTGCTTTAGAAAATAACAATAACCCTTTTGATATCAGTAGACAGAATGTTTCTGTGGATTTTCGAAAGATATTTTGAAGCCATTTTATTACAAGTCTTGCTTCAACCATCGCCTTGCTGGTTCAATGGATTCAACAGTCCGAGTAACAAGGACTCTACAAATTGCCTCTTTTAACAATTGGACAGGGTTACTCTTTTATACTCGTATTTTTCTTCACACCATGTTAGCCTTTACTTCTTCCTTTTAACCATTCTTTAGCGTTATATTTTAATGAAACTTGTGATTTACATTTATTACATAATTCAGGATACATGTATTTCCTATGACTTTTTCAACGAGGACGTTAAAACAGCTGGGAGGGATAGTGTTACGTTCCTGCAACTGTTCCCCTATGCATTATTTCTTCTAAGCACCACGAAATGTGTTCGAAATGTGTTCTACGTGTAAATCCCTGAAGAGATTTCTTGCGTAAAGACATTCTGCATGAGTTAGTTATTCATAACCCCAATCCAGTGCTGTCATAAAGCGCGACCCTGAACGTTTATTATAAAGGGAGCAGCTAAGCTGTAAACATGATCATTCCTAAGCAGACAACTCCGACGTGAAGTAGGCCTACTCCCATGATGGCCATTCCTGAGGAAACAGCTGAGATTTGGGAATTTGTTTTATTTTAAAAATTGCATATTCATTAGCAAAACTGTTATGTTATCCTAGGCATTGAACCTTGTTGCATTGATTTGTGCACAGAAAACTACTGGAGTTTTTTACACTTTGCGGTAGTAAATCCCTATTTCTTTGGCAATTTATTGTTGTATACATAAATGGCAATAAGCCATTGAGCAATCTTTCCTTAAAAATGATTTCAAAATTAAATGTAGGGGTCAAAAATTGAACATGAAGACATGTAAATTAAGCAGTGTCTTCCCTGATATACATCACAGCAACGTCGCCTGACATGTCTGGCTGAAGTTTTCTGTTAATTTTTATAAAGGTTAAAAGGTGCACTAATTCTAAAAGTGTTTCAAACAGTTTTCACGCATTGTAGAAGAATATTAAGATCCACAGAAGGTGACTTTAAGAAAAATTCAGTGCACGCTCCTTTAAATTAATTAAAATGAGTGCTCAAAGGGTTTACTGCCCTCCAAATCTGCCTTATGTCATAGATAGATAGATACATTATTGAAGGTATTCAGAAGCAACCGAGAAGAAATGGATCTGGGCAGTTCGCACATTCAACGAGAGGATAATACTGAATCCTGACTTGAACTATACGGTGTGAAATCTTATACATATGACAACCGATGAGCCGTGTTACTCTCTCACCCGTTTCATCCTGTGCGTAAAGCCAACGGCGAGGAGTATCCAAGTGAAACGCTCTACGAGATGGTGATATGTATCCAGCTTTATAATGGCAATACATGGCAAGGAATATCAGTTTATTCAAGATGAGGAATTTTCTTCTTTGAGAAATATGTTTGACAACAAGATGAAGGTACTATCTCTGCTGCAGGACACAGAGTGAAACGCCGGAAAAGGCAGAAATAATCCACCCGATCCGACTGCCCACCGCTACTTATGAGTAGGGCTTGTGAGCATGGAAGATGAGAATGTCATGTAGGAGAAGAAGATTCTTGGGAGTTATAAACTACAACAACTGTGGATACCATTTTGTACCTATTCCAAATCCACTTTGCTTTGAGGGCTGGTGAAGAACATCGAAACCTGCGCTAACTCACAGATTAGGCTAGCCTTCAGACAACTTCCCAAACGAGGCGGCAGGCTCAGACACACTGAAGATGTGACAAAGCGCTACCAAGGTGGACTGAAACATCGGAGCATAGTCATTCCCAAGACAGTGGACGAAAACCCCATGAATCCGGACAGAATGTATAGTAGGCCTACGTCTCTACGAGAAGTACATAAGCCACATACCAAAATCAAGGAAATGCAGTCCGGCTCTCTATCTTCGTCCTCTTGCAAAGCCAAACCGTGATACATGTATATGGTAGGCCTATAGCTGTCAGCCACATGGAATTCACCAGCTTAACCTAACCAACTGCGACGTCTATGTGAGCAAGCAGGGTTGGTTGGTTATTTTCTAACAACTCCCTTCGTGCTACGGCTGCTTCGCGTTTGTACTCTCTGAACTTCGACAAGCAGCTACTACTGGTCACCGCGCTCTCTGCCGTCCAATTTTACGAACAAATCAGCAATGCTGTCTGGTCTCGGAGAAGCGTCCCACAGAGAGTTCTGCTAAAGGCACCGATGTTCCTGCTAATGCATCGGGCAGCATTGGCTTTTGGAGGCCTGTGACCAATCATGCAGACGGCAGTGGAGAAAAACTTAATGTCAATAATGCCTAAATAGATTGCATTTGCACAGTCTCTTTCAAGGTTTCAAAGAGAAATCTTAAATATACCTTGCACACACTGTTTTGGATATTCTGGAATTGTAATGTGACAGTTTTGTAATTTTTAGAGTTTTTGTAAATGTACTGGTAAAAAACTCGCTGAAGTTTATAATTGCAATGTTTTCCTAAAATTAGTTTAAAGAACATTTTCTGAACTCTGCTGACAAAAGTGGCGTTTATCTAGCTGAAAATTCTTGTGAAACGCTTCCTGGATCAGAAGAGGTGTAGTTTTGCATTTTGTATAGCTATTGTAAAACTAAGAAATAATCTACAGTAAACTGTACATTCGCAAAAAATAATCTACAGTTTCTACAACAGACTGACGTCACAAAAATAGTTTTAAGGGTGAAGAAACCGATTAGCCTATTGTCCAGTTTACAAGGGAACAAACAGTTACGTTTTTCAATACTATATTCTGTTATTGTTCAGTGGCCAGCTATGCATGATAGAGTAAACAGAAATTACTATCAAATACATGTACACCATACCATTTAACTAATAAATTCACAATAGTGCACCGCCAAGAGTTGGCTCCGCGTTGGCCAATCACAACACGCAAAATCTATATAGACCCTTTCCAGCCGCGCACTGGGTGTGTACATTTGTATAAGTAGCAAGTGGAGGCAATTATTCTGCTTGATGAAACTGAAAATACACAGGAGCACAAATTTCAGGTGAAGCTGCAATGCATTTGTCTTTAACACAGTTTTCTGCAACATAATATACTCTCTTTATGCTCAACGCCTACGAAGTCGAAAGGGCATTGTTCTTCCCTTGAATAGCGGCATGTGTATGATTCGTGGGGCTGGCGGAATATCCCCTCTTCTTGCTTAGGGGGATGGGCCAAATTTTGATCATCCCCCAACGTGTTGATCGTGAAACATAATAGATCAACGTGTATTTTTCAGCTATTGCGAATTTTCCGACTGATAAATGGGCAATAGAACAAAAACTGTAAACCACCATGAAAGGTTTGAAGATAAGTTAGCGCGTATAAGCCGCGGCAATATGAGATACACGGTACATCATGAGAGACCCGTATCCGGTGAGCGCGTCTAAACTTACTTTGCACCTTTTTTTTTCATCTCAGCACCCGTGACTGCGATGATAGCCTATAAAGTTGGTAGTCGGTGCGTAGTTGTCTGTGGAGGCGTAGTCTATGGACTTGGTTTGGTTCTGGCTTCCCTATCTTCGCACGTAACTGTCTTTGCTGCATCTGTAGTCCTACTTGCAGGTAAGATTTGGATAACGCTAGGAATGGATGCATTGAGCAACCGTCACATTTGACTGAAGCATTTTAGACCTAGCCAACTGGGTTTGTAGTCAGTAAGGTATATGAAGCCCTGAATGATTTTACGGCCATGCTTAAATCATTTCCACGATTCATCAATTCATTATTGTGCCCAAGATTGACACAAATTCGTGCATGGCCACGGCAAAAATTAGTGTCGTGTCCACTATTCTATAAACCGTAGACTCAGCTTATAAATTTGCACATCCTGCCTTCGGGCTTTACAAGGAGGTCCTTAAAGGGACTTCTTTTTCTTAATCTGGACCTGTGAGGTGGATCTGCCTATCTCATTCGTAAATTGATTACAAGACAATGTGTGGAAAAGCATAAGACTCCAATTTATACTCTCTTGCTTCCTACTTAAATCAGACAATCATTGTAAGGAATGTATGCACGGCCAATTACAACCAATTGCAGTAACGAACACTCCCAGTTATCGTATGCTTCGAGTTCCCTTATAAACGTAAATTTTGGAGGTTTACTTTGTCAGCATCTTGAAAGTGATGAACAAAACAATTTCTGCTTAAAAAGCCGTGTAAATATGAAACATAGTTATCCCGTCTGGATTTTGAAGAAAATTGGCGAAAGAGGTTCTGTCTTCCTTTCTTTTTCCCGTCTCTTTTCACGTATTTAATGGATGTGTCTTTCGCTTTTTATGGCCCATTGAATTTGGGATATCCAAATTAAGAAAGAAGACAGTTTTTTATATTATTATATTTTTTCGCTGCGTCTCAGGAACCCCGCCTACAAACAGCATCAATGACCCTTTTAATTAAACCTCTGGCCTTTTGCCACGAAGGGAAGGTGTTCATGGAAAATACATGCATCATATTGAAAGATGAAAGGACACCAAAGTGTTAGCACGGTGCGATTTGAGTAAGTTATTATTGCGCTGCAAAAGAAAGTTTTTGGTCAGTAAAACCAAATAATGACAACTCAACATTTTCTCATTAACTTAATTATATTCAACAAAGCAATCGACTGCTAAAGAAGGATATAGACACATGGAACTATATTATTCAGGCACACATGTTCGTAGTCCTAGTCTAACGGATAACACACGGTGTTACACCGCAATGTTGCAGCGGAGTTGAGACCGGCACGTTTGACTTGAGATTGTTCAAAACAAAAGGGCCTTTGAAAGTAAATTTTCTTTCATTGATCCATTAGGCACAGGAGCTGCATGTGTTATCAATCCTGTGCACGCAGAAGTCAACTTTTTCTTCAGTGAGAAGTACGCACTAGTGAGCATCATCGCTTTGGGCGGAAATCCACTGGGAATGATGTTATACGGCCCGGTGGCACAACTTCTTCTGGACACATACGGTTGGAGAGGAGCAATGCTCCTCCTAGGAGGTGCTGGGTTTTTCCTCATAACCTGTGGTATGGTAATAAGGAGGCCTTCCTCGTCCTACTCAAGAATCGTGAACGAAGATGAAGACGACCGGATGGACGACGTCGCTGGCAGCGTCAACAATTCAACAATCCCATTCAAGATGGGAGCCAAAACTTGTTCTTCCTTTTTGTTGATAACTGGATTTGATATATTCTTCAATCTTGACTTTCTTCTGCTGAGCCTCTCGAGAATGCTCTATGCTGCGGGTTATGGAGGACTCATCGTGTACATGGTTTCTAACGGGCTTTCGCTGGGTCTGAGCCCCAACGAGGCCTCATACCTGACTGTGGCCTGGGGGATAGGGAACCTAGCTGGTCTTACGACAGCTGCGATCGTGCTCCATACAAAGCTACTGCCGTATTACTCCACTGCTGTAATAGGTGGAGCGATAGCTGCCTTGTGTATGACTGTTGATTCTGTCATTCCCACATTCAGCGGTCAGATGATAATCATGCTCTTGACGGGGTTTGGATTTGATGTCATCGTCGAGGTTAATTCTGTAAGAACGAGATGTCTACCTTTTGGTGATGACAGATTCATCAGTGTACTTGGCTGGCAAAACTTCATGGCAGGTTTCTCTTCTACGGTAGGCGGAGTATTTGCAGGTGAGTATTTGGAAAGATTCACAGAACATCATTAAATCCAATGTTTTATTCCAGTTTATTCTCTCAAAGCGACAAGATCTCGTTCGAGACTGTAATTCCTGGAAGCAGAACAGGGTTCTGTGTTAATGAGGCCATCTGAGTTTCCTCATTTGCTTAATAAATTATCATGGAAAAATGGATTTTTCTTCTTCGAATTCCTGAGGTCTCATCTTTGAAGGATGGATGATGCATTTCGCCAAAATTTTTTGTAATGATGTCGTTAATCCAAAGAAAGTTATCGTTTCTTGATGACGTGTCTCGGGCAGATGTTTTTATTTGTAAAGAGGGAGTGAACTTTACTGTGCCACAGTTTACCAGATAACTTATCAGCGAAATGCTGAAACATTGATGGTACAAACTGGATAGCCTGCGGCATTTTGCCAGATATTTCTTAACCACTATATAAATCTATACGATTTCCCTGGACGTTGCTCCGGTTTATTCTGTCACTGATGTTTTACTCCTTTACTTCAGGTTGGCTTTACGATGCGACGGCTAGCTTCCAGTTAACATTCACCATGTTGAGTGCAACAGTAATGTCATCAGCACTGTGTTTCCTTGTGGAGGTTGTTCTGAAGAGGCAAACGCAAAATTAATTTACATTCCAATGGGCTCTGTTGTGCTGTCGCGAAGGAAGGGAACGACAGACTAAGGACTGACCTTCGTCCGTACCCGGTCGCGTGTTTGTGGAAAGGTGTTAAAATTGAAATCGATATTGAAATTGATATCAACGCAAAATTACAATACTCTTTCAACTTATAACATATCAAATATTAGGCGATTGTGGATTGTCAACTGATTATTGTATCACCTGTAGACGGATTATGCAATGAAAGTTTAAAAAAAAATGAAAACGGCTCTATACTTATTACTTTACGGATTAACCGAAAAATTATTTATTTGTAAATATATAGGTGTTGTTATGACACTGTGCACAAGAAAAAAATCATGTTTTTAACGTCACGTTTGTAATGAATTGAATTCAAGAGCCGTAAATTTCAGTGGTCTCTCGCCTCGTGGAGTCAAAATTTATATCCCAGGGCGATATAATGATCAATTAAGAACAATGCAAATGCCCTTACAATTCAGTCCCGCCCTGCGGTTCTTTGGTACAGTTGAAGAATGTAGATGAAAGAAACGGTCGCCTAGCATGTCCTCTGGACTTAGGATACAGAGGGTGTGTTTTCAGATGAGCGTGGCTCTAGGAATTTTAAACAGTGGGTAAAATGTTGTTGACTTATGGAATTTCGAGAGTCGCTCATTTTAGGATAGGCTAGACTTATTTAAGGAGGCTTGGACCAATGAAAAGTGTCATGATTAATTTTTAGAGGTACACATTTGTATACTCTCGCTGACATAAACACGACAAAAACGAACTGGAATTAAAGACAGTACACTTCCCCATTCGGCAGAATTATTTATTAAGTCACGATGAGCACGGTGCATATAGACAAGTCTGGTACACTGTTTATTACCAAGATATCAGTCTATATCAGAAACTATACAGATATAACATTTAAATCTGTAGCAAGTACTTTATATAACAGTAAACAGACAAAAACCACGGCAACCCAAGGGGGAAAAAGGAAACGTGTGCCTGACCTGAGCGAACCAAATGAAGTCAGGCTAGCAAACAACGACCCCGGCAAGCTCGGTGGTCGAGTCCCACCCGAGTAAGCTTGTGAGGTTTTTTCGCAAGCTCTCGGACAAGCACTGAGCGTACAGTGCTTATTAATATACATTGGTACCTGTTATATATAATTAACATCTCCCTACGCAAAAATACATCTTGAAAATAGTTCGCGGTACCCGCTGCTTCATTGACTCGGACCGGCCAGCCGACCCCAGCGAGCTCGGTGGTCGAGTAGTTAAGACATCTGCGCAAGTAAGCAGGAGGTCATGAGTTCGAGTCCCACCCGAGTAAGCTTGTGAGCTTACGAAAAAAGCAGGAGAAAATATATTTTATCTCTCATCGATTATTTTGCCCAAAACAAAAAAGAAGCAGTTTAAGCTCCCCTGTTTGCATTAATAATACACAAAGAAAGAACTCTGGCATTGTTCTTATGTCTGTTGAGTAATGAATACAGAGTAAATCTTGTACCTCACCAAGCCACGTGCTTTAGTATGATTCCCATTGCAAGAAGTGTCAGAGCGCACTTTACAAGTAACCCTATGCAGCCTTCAATCTCTTTGTCACGTGCCTGTCAATCAGCGTAAATATTGTTATCCTTCCGTAAAACAGAATCAAATTTGCACAATTTTGTTGCTAAATATTTGTTGCTAAAACAACTCTTTGGGCTAAATAAACCTAGATGTCTAGTGTTTTAATTGGCCATACACCATTATAACGTTTCTTTTGATTGAATGAATGGTGAATGAATGGACGCATCCTTGGAATTTGGGGAGGCTCCTGCACTGCAGTCAGATGTCTACGGACCTTTTTCACCCGCGTGACTGGATTGCGCTAAAGGTAAATAATACCACCACGTGTGTCCTTGACTCCATGGGCTGCGTACGCGTTCGTTCACATGGCCGGGAACCAACATTGCGCGGCAAGATTGTTCCCATGGGAACGAAGTTGCACAACGTGTGGACCGCCGTGGCCACGGTGATTACGGGCAGCTTCAAAAACGTGCGAACGCTGCATGCTTGACTAGTTTCTCTGCAGTAAGTATTAGGCCTACCATCACAACACAATGCATATTACCATCACATTGCAACACATACAGGTCCAGCACGATTCTGACATCACAGGAAAAAGGTCTATTGCCTTCCCCATAAGGCGCTTAATTTAAGTGGTTTACAGCAAGCAAGTTGGTGTTGCCACGTTGTAAACCCCCACCCCATGCTGTACAATCATACCCTTGTCTTCTGTGTTGTCCATTCAGCGTTCATGCGATACGAGTAAAGCGAAGGAGCATGAAATTGCGGCCAGGCTTATTTCAGCAATTCCCACATCAGAGGAAAGCAACCTGAATAGACAATCCTGCCAGAAATGGTTGATGATGGTTTTTAGTGATTTTTATCAGACGCATTATGCACCAAATGCATATATGTAAATTAGTGAGATAGGAACGAGAAACAAACAAAACTTTACAGCTCATTCAAACTGCTCTTACCGAAATTGCATCAAATTGATTCGAGTATTTAACAAATGCAAGCTATTGACGACTTCTTTCAGCTTTGCATCAACTGATGATCTCTTCCACCTATCTTGCAAATCTTGTGTATTAAAAGTTACGTACATTATAACAGTAACATATTTTGGCTGTTGAAATAATCTCAGAGTCGACGTTTTGGTTTCACCACCCAAAGCTGGACACGATCAAATGGTCCATCCTAGTAAAAATGTGGATGGGTGGGGGTAGGGGGATGAAGGGTGTATCCTATTCACCCGAATTGGAAATTTACGCTCCTGTGTCAAAAGATTATCATGATAATTCTACCAAGACCAACGAAGGAACAGATTTTTATTTTCATAAGTCTAGTTTCGTGCACATTTTTATATAATATCTATATATGTCTGATAAAAACTGATGAAACTTGACGTCTTACCAAAACAAAAGTTGCGAATAACTATTAAATATCTATTGAATCACCCCCCCCCCACACACACACACGCACACCAGTGAAATGTGAGGAATTATTCGGACTTGCCAATGACTAAAATGCATTCAATGTCACTCAAAAAGGGAAAATGATTTTTAAAAGCCCAAAATATGCCATTCTGCGGATGTTAGATTCTGCTTGAATGTACATCAATATCACGAACATCGACTTCCACACAGACTCAAAATGGTGTCATCCCCTATGCTTTTCAAATTTTCAAGGCTGGGCAAGTCATCCACTCCCCCCCCCATGACTCGGCACCAATGTACGAGTGACTAAACAGCCTGAGAACACCTTGGTGCGAGATATTACATGGAGGAATCTGCGCTGCACATGCTCTTACTTCCCTTGGTGTCTCTCTCTCTCTCTCTCTCTCTCTCTCTCTCTCTCTCTCTCTCTCTCTCCTCCCTCCAGGCGACGGAACCTGACGACGCGACGGCACGACAGCTCCCTTCAGTCCCTTGGTCGTGCCGTCAGGTCGAACCGTCGCCTTCTTGCCATTTCGTTTGTACACACACGACGCGTCTCGTCGTGCGTCGCGTTGTGCTGTCTTAGGTCCTTTCCTTGTTGCTTTTTTTTCTGCCTAAACGTCGCCCGTTCCATCGCCCGTCGCGTCGTGCTGTCGTGCGTCGCGTCGTGCATTGCGTCGCCTGAAGCACGACGCGATGCACGACACGACGCCACGCGTCGGGTGCTGTCGCCCTTTACTTCATGGTGTTTATAGAGGGCACCTTTACTGTTTTCTTTCATTTCCTTCCCCCGGCCCGTGCTTACACAGTACATGCCACAGGTACCAGGCCTTCATTCTGTTGTTCTTTTTCGTGGATTCTCTCTAACTTTGTGTTTTCATTAAGAGTGATTTGTTTTTTTAATCAAATGTAATCAGAAAGAGCTTTGCGACTAAACAGCATTGTCTTCAGGAAATATATAACATTACCGTCATCCACAACAATGTTTTAACTTTTCCTGATCTAATTCTGGTTTTTCTAATAATTATTATAAACCCATTCTAAGATACAATACATCAAACATTATTACGTGCTTGCAAAAATGTAACATCCGGATCTGATGAGAAATTAAGCGCAAGGCCAAACAGAGAGGAAGAAAATACACCGTCACAATGGTAGCAGGATCAACAGTGTTTAATCAAGAAACAAGGACTAATATCATTGAAAGTGTGGTGCTGATGAAGTTAACGAGGAAGACTAAACTGAAGGAAGACTGAATATTCTGAGGGTAATAATATAGTGCAAGCTGGATGGTAACTACCTGAACCCGTGGTCAAACTTGCAGTCGCACAATTGTAGACAAATTGTCTGGAGGAGTGGGAAAACTACTTGGAAACTGCTGGCATTGACCACAGAGAAATATTTATACGGTTACAAATCTGCCACAAATGGGAACTTCATCAACGGTCTTAAAAAGAAATTGGATGGACATTCGAACAAGGATCAGCCGGGTAAAGTAAAAAAAAAAGTGACGAATTCTGGGCTTACACTTATTATGCGAGAGCACCTACACACGCGGATTTTCTTTTTGCTCGTGTTCATTTTTCTTGGATAAAATATGACAAAAATTAATTCAATTTGACGAATGAATGAAACAACCCCCCCCAAAAAAATGAAATCAACGCCTGCGGCTCAGGGCATGTATTTTGCAAGCGCAATGGACGGAAATGAGATAAAACAAAAGAAATCATTGGCTGGGAAATTAAGGAGTGACGAATTCTGAGCTTGCGGTTCAAGTTCCACTTATTTTGAGAGAGCAGTTCCGACATATTCGGATTTTTTTTGCTCTTTTATCATTTTTTTAATAAAATATGACAGAAATCAATCCCAATTAATGAATCGATGAGATAAAAACAATGAAAAATCAACACCAAAGAGCGAATAGCATGTATTTTGCAAAAAACAGTAAAGGCGCCCTCTATAAACACCATGAAGTAAAGGGCGACAGCACACGACGCGTCGCGTCGTGCTGCAGGCGACGTAATAGATGACGCGATGCACGACACGACGTATGACGCGACGCACGACAGTACGACGCGACGGGCGACGGAAGGGGCGATGTTTAGGCGGGAAAAATTAAACTTGGAAAATACCTGAGACAGCACGACGCGACGGGCGACGGCACGACGCGACCCGTCGGTCGAGTTTGGGCGGCCTGTTCTTGATACGGGTTTCTTGTTCTCGCGCTCGAACGGCGGGAACACGTCTCAAGAACACTGTTCTCGGAACAGGGTCACACACCACCTCCTCGTCAGGGTTTTACAGGAACACACGGAAAAACTCTTGAGATTTTGATTTTTGAACACCTGCAAAAAATAGAGAGATGGTTTACAAAGTTGGAGACAAGATGAAGTTTTGCAAAATTAACATTAATTATTTTTCACGAAAGCGAAGTGAATGTTCCTGTTTAAAAAGAACAGAATTTAGCCCAGTTGTCCAAGCATTAACTCTCGAATAGTTTACTACGATATGGACGCCGCCATGTTGCTTGTCACTAACAACTGTACGTTCCCGGCGTTCGAGCGGCCGACCCAAGAACGACAAATCAAGCTGTTCGTGAACGTGTTGTGTTTGTACAAACGTAACGGGCAAGAAGGCGACGGTGCGACCCGACGGCACGACGCAAGGGAGCCGTCGTGCCGTGGCGTCGTGTAGTTGCGTCGCCTGGAGGGAAGCTGAAGAGAGAAATGTTTGTCGTAAAAAGTACACCATACCATAAAAAACTTTTCCTTTTTTTAAAAAAAATCTGACGATTTGCCGAATATCGCGATCGTCAACACTTTTGCCCGAATGCTCGCTCGAATCCTAACCGGTCATATCCCTCGTTTCTTCTATCGGTGGAATAGCGCCCTCTTAGCTAGCTTCTACTGGATCCTCCAAGTCAAACTTCTGTTTAGTGCTAGAGTGTGGGCTTGACCGGCCGTTCTCGTCATTCATGACTGTTGTACAGTGATAAGATGTGCTTTTGAGATTACCCAGAGGACAAGTCCAACCATCGTGACCGTAGCCCTGGCCTGGGACTCTGTGTGAGCTACAGGTAGAAAGCATCTTTGACGTTTATCCATCAGCCAGGTGAGACCAATGAAAATCATTGACATTGTTTCAAAAAGCCTGCCAATAAATGGTTGTCATTAGTCGTTGAGGTAAATTGTTTCTTACATGGGAGGTTACTGGGACCACAGTCAGTGCTTACTTGACTTTGACATGTTTGACAACACCTGGACAACATGATGCATGGCCAACATGATATTGGATTCTGAAATTCATAACTTCAACCATGGAACTATTGCTATAGCTATTCACTTGTCTTTCGTCACGCCACATTGCCCAACTTCTTTCCTGAAAAAAACTTGAAACACATGTACATTTTGCATGTTTGGTGGTGATAACTGGTACTAGGCTACAATATGTATGATGTGCATTATAATTCGGCTAAAATGTAGCATCCTGACTCCACTGTTCTCATCATACATGTATATCATCTCAATAAAAGTCAGTCATTACAGAAATGCTGGAAAGACACAAATTCTGGACGGAGAAATTTACTGATGTTGGGAAATACATGTACTTCCACAATTCTCTTCACTCCCCATAGACTTTGTACACAACTGCTGAAGTGGAGTCAGGATGCAACATTTTTTCCTATAACTTTTGTGATACATGATGTTGAACCTTTGTGAACATTTTGAGTGTTTTGAAATTTCGTTTGAAATCCAAACCTGTCAACATCCGGAAATTGGGCCCGAATTCAGCTGAGTGTTCCCTAACGTGGCACACTTAAAAAAAATCTTAGAAAATCCCACATTAATCATTCATAAAATCATTTGAAGTCGTTAAATTTTTGTAAAGCATCATTACTGCCACTCAAATACCTATCCACAAATTTGTCAGAAAATTCTTTTTCTATTTTTTGGCACATTAAAAAGTTCATTTTACACGTTGGAAAAGAATGGGAAAATCAGGCAAAAATAAAATTTCATCTAAACTTTGTAGCAGGTACATGTACATAAAAATCGAGATTTATGAATCAGAATATTAGAAGTTTGATGAAGTTTCACTGAAATTTGAGCGTAAAATATTGCTCCATTCAGACGCAAGCAAAATATGAAAGTGGGCCACGTTAGGGGCCACAGCACATAAAAGATATGTACATCAACACTATTGAGGATAATGCTTGAAGGTTTGCATGGTGAATCTACGATTATCTCTCGTCTCCGGACGACAGACAGAGAACTCACTGCCCGAAACGTAGAGGACTGGATCATTTCAGAACCCCACATACTCACAAAAATCCACATGGTGTCTCCGCAAACCTCCTTCCTAACAATATTGAAATTGGAGGATGCAGGACTGTTTGCTCTGAAAGTGCACCCTCACTGGCAAAGAGGAGAGACAGGCTGGTGGGAAGTTTGAGGTCGTGCCGCACCCATACATGTACACTCGAAGATCATACATTCCAACACAAATTGGTTGTGTGTGCTCAGTGTGCTCTGCAACAAACGTGCATAAACCTTTGGCAGCATCCTCATCCAAGGACCATCGTTTCCGCGTAAAAGCACATGTCACCTCTTGCTCCCAGTCAGAGCTCTGAATGGTGGTTAAAGGTACTGCTAGAACTACGGAATTTGTCGTCATGTCATGCTCCTAAAGGGTAGCGTGGCATGACAACAAACTTTGTCATGTTAGTTCTAGGTGTACATGTAGGTTAGAGGTATGTACATGTACCGTCCATGATTTGTTATTTGTCCTGTACATATTCGTTTAGGGCAAGAAAAGTGCTCAAAAGCTTAAGAAAGGTACATTACAATTAACCTTATGAAGTTGGAGCTCATCAGTGATGATCTTAAATGAGTGAATGTACTGTACCTAAGGTTTACTTGAGCCTATTGTATCATACAAGCCCTTTCCCTCCAACTCCGCCTTAATGCATTGACCTACATATACATATAATCTATAGGATCTTCACTTCAAATCAAAAGATGCAGTCGTTTTTTGACATGTTTTAATTTGCACCCAAAGTCAGCATCAGGGACACAATTTCATTTAGCCGATAGCAGCTACACAATATCTGTGCACTGAACTGATGAGTTATAGCAACTATTTGCATTGTGTCAACACTTTTGTGCACTTCAGTTCATGAACTACAGATGACAAGTTCCACAAATGCATCTTTAGACACCTTGTTAGAAATGGCCCTCTTTCATTGCTTTCTGCAAAATTACAGTTTGCCTGAAAGAATTACAATAATTTGTCTGTTACTTTCTAGACAGCTACATATTGGGTGCAATCAGTCAAACTCTGCAATCGCTCGATCTTTGTACAGTCATTCAATCTTATTGCAGGATATGTTGATAATTCTACCATCAGCCAATTGCCTTTCCTTTCCATTTCACAATGGAAGATTATTCCAAAAAAGTGAAGCACAGTGTGTAAGCGATTTCATGCAGGATCCACCAATTGTGCAAAGCCATCAGGTGATTGTGCAGGTAGCGGTAGGCTTATGGTGCCCAACTAGTCACTGAGAATTTGGAGTGAATACCCAATGACCATTCAGAAGTAAATTTTAACAACCAAGAAACCCATGATGAGATGAATGTTAGCGAGATGGAGTGAAAGATGGTAACTTGTGGTCAGATATGTACATTCACATGTAGCTATTGCAGGGTTGTTGAATGGGTACAGATATGAAGTGGTGTGGGGTCAGAGGTCTTAAAAATACAAAAGAGTTACTATACTTCAGCTGAAAATTTGGTGTGACTGGAAGACATACTGTACTAATACTAAATCCCTCAATAGGCTTCACACCAGGTTTAGTTTATGCAAGACCAACATGAGCACATTGGGTTACATGTACATGTATGCAGAATACAAATATGTGGAATATCTGTGCAGTCCACGTCACACTTACTAAGATGCCCTCTTGCGTTGAACAAGGCTGCCTGGAAGATCTGATGGTGGCAAGATCTACTTCTACGATCTTCAGAGGTGAACAAAGAATAAATCCCGGCACAGAATGAGAAGACACGGTCTAGGATACCCAACAATGTATGCACTGGTACCTTCTGCCCAAATCACTTTCCTCGTTTCAAAAGTCAATTTCCCCCCGTCCTCAATACAAAATGCATTTTATAGAGCATGCCTTGATCTGTGGAACTACTGCATTCCCTCTACCGGCTATTTTTCAATGAATGAGAACTTTGAACTTCCCCCTATTTTTCCCAACGGTAACGGCGGTTTGTTAAAAACATCCAGGCAGGATGTAAGTTACAACACAGGAAATGTCAAAGCTTTACCTTACAGCGTACCCATGTAGCCTGTTTGCAGAACTCACGTCGTGATGCTCATTTAAGCTGACAAAGACATCGAAGTTTGTCAGTGCCAAACAGACAGATTCTGAAGAAACAACTCCCATGCAGTCGCACAGAAACTTACGTATGCTAGAAGCTTCTTTGTTGGTAAGTAACCTTTAAAATATCTCAGATTTTTCCGTGCTACTAGCTTGTAGGCCCTTACATGTAGCTGTATTTCTTGTACATGTAGCTGTATTTCTTGTTTCATGTAGCTGTAGTTCTTGTCTTAGTCTAGCTAAGTGTATGTTATTAATCATTGCTCTCATAGAAATGTTTAAAGTAAATGGCCATTTGAGGTGTAAATAATACATGTATGCATGTAAATCTATCCACCTGTTTCTAAGATACTGAAATGTAAAGTGACTCAAGCTACTGTACTGGTATAATACATGTGCTAGTTAAAATGCATAATTGTAAGTTAGTGTGGAAAATCAATGTTGTAAAATGTTTCCAGTGATTGTGCTCAACTGTGGGGTATTCCTCTGAAGGCACATACATGTACAGTGTAACTACACTGTACATGTATGTAAGATTAATGTCCAAGATTTTGCTGACAGACTGAACAAAGTACAGTTATTAGTATGTTTTGATTGTAAATCTTTTTGGTTTGAATTCGTGCATTATTTACATGTACCTACATGTAATAGGATGTACATGTATGTATGTCACAAGACATGCAGTGTGCTCAGCAATAGTTCAAGAGCTTTACATGTATTTACTGAAAATCTTGGTAATCTTTGTGTGTCAACGGCGAAGTCCATACATGTACACATATGTACAAGTACACTGTATGTACCGGTACATAGTACATGTAGTTCATCTGGGGTTCATGTATGTACATGTACCGGTGCATCTAACTGTTTTAAATTTATAAGGCTGCATTCAAGCCACCAAACCAAACAAGAGCACCATTTTAAGTTCTTTTCGTTGTATAACTTCTGCTCGTTCAACTAACAAACCTTGTGATATCAAATTGTACAGCTAATAGTATGGAAGAATTAAAGTACACTGTACATGTACATGTACCACAAAAATTATCAACAGTTTGTTTTCACTAAATTTGCATAAATTATGGTTAGATTGGAATGCACACCCCTGTACATGTGCAGTAGAGGGTTGATGTGTACACACCATGCATGGAGGTAGAATTGTACCTCCATGCACCATGTAAGGGAATGGGTCATGAGAGTCTGATTTGTTTCTTTCAATGTTTTTTGTGACTAATTCATCAAGTTTAAAGAGATTGGCAGAAATTTATTCATGGTTAATTTTTAAAGGACTTTTTGTCCTTTTTTTATAGAATAAAACCCCTGTTGGGTGTGTATAAATTAGAAGGCGAGATGTTTGTGTAGTGACTGTAGTTTTAAAGGGAACTTCCTAACATTGCTTTAAAGGAAGACTGTCTTTATTGGGCCCAAGCTGCAAAATGTACTTTGATTGTCACTAAAGGATTAGTGAAGCGTGAATGAAGAACAAAAGAGGAAAACACAAAGCACAATATTTTTTACTGGACAGTTTTTATGAGGCGGAACTGATTTTGTGGATGCGGCCATTAATAGTGGTCACGTGATCAGAATCTCGATAGTGACATCACAAGTGCTTTTGGGCTGGCTTAAAGACTGGGTACCAGCAAGTGCAGAATAAGGCTCACAAGCATGGGGAGGGGAATCCTCAGCATCATTCCGGAACACACTCAGCACCGTATCAGGCTTCGACCTTAGC